GCTGCCCAGGCAGTCAGACATCTTGCACCAAAAAAGGGCATTGGTACTTACCTGATACACCCGTTCTCTGTGAGCTGTGAAGAGCATCCAGTGATGGGAAGGTGCTTCAGTCCCTTCTAGGAAGGCTGGGCTTAAACTTGAGGACACTCCTCCTCCTCCACGAGACTCCTCCTTGACCCTTACTACAGGTCCCTTCGAGCCACTAAGGACCATGACACTTCGATTTCTAACCTACAAAGTAGTTTTCCTGATAGCAATTACATCTGCCTGAAGAATCTCCGAACTAGCTGCATTATCAGTGCACAAAGATCTCTGCATTTTCCATTCAGATAGAGTGGTTCTCAGACCAGATCCCTCCTTCATTCCAAAAGTTAATTCAGCATTCCATAGAGTTCAAGAGCTGGTGCTCCCAAATTTTTCCATCACACAGGCTCGAACACCAATGGCACTGCTTGGACGTAAGAAAAGCCTTACGCATCTACATAAAGCGCATGGCGCCCTACAGAAAGACAGAAGCCCTCTTCGTGTCTTTTCAGCCTAACACCCTGGGGCGCAAGGTTTCACCCTCTACCATAGGTAGATGGCTAAGGGCCACCATCGCTAAGCCGTATGACTCTCACTCGATTCCAGTGCCCCAAGGCATTACCGCTCACTCCGCCAGGACTGCAGCTACCACAGCAGCATGGGCGATCCAAGCTACAATACAGGAGATTTGCTGAGCTGCAACCTGGGCTTCTCCATCTCCATTTATTAGAAATTATAAAATTGACGTATTTGCTTCTGCTGAGGCTTCATTTGGTAGGTGAGTTTTGCAGCAAGTTATTTCAGAGACAGTTAGGTCTGCAACCCAGACGGAGTCCCTCCCTTAGGACAGTGCCAAGCTTTGGTATGTCCCATCACTGGATGCTCATGGGAGAAAGGGCGTTGGTACTTACCTGATATGCCCGTTCTTTGTGAGCTGTGAAGAGCATCCAGCCCCTCCCTTTTATTCCGTCTGGTAGTGGGTCTATTCCGGCCAGGGTTATTACATAAGCTTAAGCATATAGGGTATCAATACCTTGGCTTCACAAAACTGGGGACGCTAAGGAGGAATCTCGTGGAGGAGGAGTGTCCTCAAGTTTAAGCCCAGCCTTCCTAGAAGGGACTGAAGCACCTTCCCATCACTGGATGCTCTTCACAGCTCAGAAAACGGGCGTATCAGGTGCCCTTTTTGTGAGGTGCCAAGGTGTCTGACTGCCTGGGCAGCGTTTGTTGCTTTTATACAGTTTTTACAAGCAGAAAAAGGTAATATAGAAACAGTATTTGGATTGGTGAATTCCCCCCACCAATACTTAAGAATATACAAGTAAGGAAGTGGTGCTGTTAGCAAGTGAGATCATGTACAAGCCAGGGACAGCTCTGCTAAGTGAGATCATGTAGGTATTTGAGGCCCATATAGGTGTTGAGGCACAGCAGTGTGCTGCTTGCACCACCTACAGGACCTCTATTGCCACTACATCTCACTCTTTTTTGTTTTGTTAGACAAGGCATAGTCATAAGAGTAAGGGCATCATAATTAGGAGAAGAGCATCCTTGCAATTGTTTATACTGCCATAATCAAGGCAGTAATATGTTAGGCAGTAATCCACAACTGAACAATGTGTAACTACTAATACCATTACTCCTTCCATGAATAAGATTATAATTGCCAATTGTGATAATCCATAGCTAATTCATTTGTTCATTCATGCTTAAAAAAACTATGTTCAATTAATTAGGCTTTTCTCAGAATTTTGTGATAGCCAACTACTGCAATTTACTTATCTGTAAATGATGCCGTCATTACTGAAATCTTTTGATATTGTACAGTAGTTATATTTTAATCCTTTAAACCAAAAAGGATTTAAACTACCAAGTAAAGTTTATATCATGAGCTACAGAGTACAGATAATTATACAGTAAAGCATGAGCCACAATGGCACAGTAGTTAGAAGGCTACTTCTGCTAATTGCCAGCTGCCTGCGATTTGGCAGATCGAATCTCACCAGGTTCAAGGTTGACTCAGCCTTCCATCCTTCCGAGGTTGGCAAAATGAGGACCCAGATTGTTAGGGGCAATATGTTGACTCTGTAAACCGCTTAGAGGGCTGTAAAGCACTGCAAAGCGGTATATAAGTCTAAGTCCTATTGCTATTGCTAAACTTCTATTCAAAATGATTTGTTTAAAAAATAAAAGCAATAAAAAGATAACTATCTTAATTCACTAGGAATAGCATTTCAGAATCCTGTGATGGTAGAAATAAAGACCCCAAGTTAAAGGGAGATGAATCCACTCCAATGAACTTTCTTAAATGATCTCAATTATCAAATACAATCGCTCAACGAACTTCCAGCACTCTGTGATCATGCTACTCAAATTTGGTGGAAGAATAGTAATTTTTCTTTCTTTGGAAAAGGTGAGAATAGAAGCAGCAATTTCCCGGGTGGCAAACAAGTCTTAAATTCACCCCCCAAAAGAAAATAAATGCATCAACTCATAATACTAATATTGGACTAGTTGGAGCTGAATACTGATGGCAATTTTGGCTGCTTGTCATTTGTTTGGTACATCTTAATGACAGAAAACCCCATGACTATTCTCATACTCACTGTTCAACACAAAGAATAGTTTGAATAAAAAAACTCTCCTGTGATTCTATTGTGGCTTTCAGAAGTTTGGGAGATTAACAATTAATGATTCCTAGCCAATATTTATATGGGCCTTGCAAAGACAAAAAGAGATGCTGATTCAAAATTCAGAGAAGTAAATATAACAGTCTATCAATGTTGAATTACTAAGGGAAAAGTAGTTATCTGGGTAATAATGAAATTTATTCTTCTGAAATAATAAATTAGTAACAACTAGATGCAATTGTTTTGCTTCTACAAATACTATTATAAACTGGAACTTTAAATCTGGATTTATACTATTTTGGGGCTGACAGCTACAGGACTGCTAATAGGATCACTGTTTCACTGCAGTTTCTGCAGAAGTGGTTTCCACACATACAGGCAAACAGCTTTCAAAATGCTAAATGAACTTTCCAAAGGATGAGACTGTTTTAAAATTATGAGGAAATCACTTCTGAACTTCGTGCTTGATGTGGAAAAGAATGTGACTCTAGCTTTTACAGATTAGATTGATAGATCTTTATAGAAATGACTTGTTCATTCTATTATGGAAAACCAAAAAACTGTGATTTGATGTTAATGCCTTATTTTACTGTAACAGAGTCGGAAGTCAAAGCTTCTTTTTCTCCCCCCCCCCCCCCGCCCTCTTTCCTCACTTCTCTTTCCCCTTTCTCCTTCCCATTCACTGCTCTTCTATTTACTTTTGTATTTTATAATACCCTATAACTTAATAAAAAATGTTTTAAAAAATTGTGAGGAAGAATGTCACTCACACTAACACAATTTTCAGAGTGGCATTTTGGAATGTTTTGTACTGCTTGGTTCTTTGCAGCATTTGCAATCTATCAAACGTTAAAAAACAGAAACTTTTGTATATAGAGAAAGACCAGCCAAAAGTATTAAACAATATTTGAAGGAGGAATTTCTATGCAGCTTGTAGCAATAGATTGTTGTGGGTAATCTGTCAACAACTGAGGAGGAAAGATGGTGACCAAGACCAAACTGTTTGAGGTTGGAGGATTTACTTGCCTGCCCATCATTGCTTACTGCTTACCTGCCCCAGAGGAAGCTTTCTTGCTCCCCAGTTTCCTTCTTTCCTGAGCTACTGGCTCACCAGAGAAGCAAATGGCAGGGAGTGTGGCCAATCTGAAAGAACACTGAGTAACTGGCCCAAGGGACAACAGAGGGGGACAGTTGGTAGACAGACTTATTTCAACCTGGAGTCTGGATTTATGTCCCACGCAGAAAGCAGAACCATGGTGGTAGTAGGCGTCCTCTGGTGTGCTAGATGGGGTCTCCCATGGGTGAGAGACGGGGAGGAGACCCAAGGTTGCATGCTGGTGTATATGTGAAGCAGCAAGAAGTGGATACTCTTTTTCCAAGTGAGAGTCAAGAAAAAGAAATAGCCGTTGAGTGCCCTTCCACCTGTCAGTGAAAGAGTCTGGAAATGGGGACACACACACTTAATTAAGGGGGATTAGTGGTCAGGAGCCTCACTTGTGTTGATAGTGGGTGCTGAAGTACTACAGGTCCTGCCATTAGTCCAAGTATCTATGAGTCAATGGGTTGTGAGTCTGAAATGGAGGACTCCCCAGGTGAGGGAACTGAGACCCAGATTAGGAATAATGAAATCTCCATGGTATTAGGGGAGTCAAAGGGTAGGCCACATATGAGGAAGAGGCTCCCCTGCCAAGGCCCTGGTGAGCAGACTGATAGGGTGAAGGGTTTTCAACTGTTATGGCTTAATGCAAAGAAAATCACTATCAGTAAGCATTCTTGTTCCAATTATGTTGTTCAAATTCCAAGAATCTATAGACTAGAAATTGCTTTTCTATATAAAGTTGAAGGTTATATTAATTATTCCTCATGGTTTCTGACTTTTTGGGCCTAGTAAATTACAATTAATACAGCCTTGACTTCCAAGCAGAAATCTTACTTTAAGAATCCTGTATACTGGATTGACTATCTAAATATAAATAGCTTAAACATAAATACTTGTGATTTGTAGTTTTTAAAAATATAATACAATGATTATTAATTTTGTTGAGAAGTAATTATATTCAATAGGTCCAGTGGTGCAGTTCAACCGGTGTAACAATGGGTTTGGTGAGCACGAGAGTTTATTGAATATTCTGAGTGGGATGCTGGTCCCAGCCCGATGTACAAGGAGAGGTAGTAGCTAGCCTCAATTCCAATGGAAAGGAACCGCGAAACTCCTTAAACAGGCAAGGTTGGTTTTATACTTGGAAACAGGTGTAGGAATATCTGTCTGGAACTGGTAAGATTAGGGCCACGTTCTCCATGGAGCTGTACTAGCCCATTGGTACATGTTAAAACCTTTAGTAGCAGTAAAAGTTGCCTTTAAAAAGAAAAGTGGAGTTCAAACTTGCTCATGAGAGCCCTGGCCAGGTGCAAACGATGTGTGAACAAAGGTCTCTATAGATCTTAATCTTAAAAATAAGCCAGCATCTGCTGGGAGATCCAAACTAGAAAGAGAAGAGACAGAACACCCAGGGCAGAGACAGGTAGTAAAAGTCTAGTGCTTAAGGAGATAGAACAATGGATGTAACTTCAAGTAAAAGTGAGTTCACTAAAACAATTAGGAAGAATCCCAAACTGTAAATAGACCTGGGTAGTCCTTTAGGGAAAAATATTTAGAGGTTGGGAAGCCCCTCCATACAGTAAGATGATTCAGACATTAGGGCTGTCCAAAGAAGATATGGTTAATTTATGCTGTTATGTGTGGTAGGAAGAAAGAGTAAAGAAGAAAAGGTTAATGTTCTTCCCACCTGGGGTTTAGCAAGTAATAAAAAGGCCTTGCCTGTCTAAATGGGAAGACTCAGATAATTTGATGTGATTTCTGTTAAAAAATACTCTTAGATGTGTATCTATAATAATAGCATGTAGAATTGAATGGAATGGAATTGATTATGATATGTTTGGCCAGCCGGCAAATTAAGTCACATCTTGGGGCAGTGGTTGGGGCCCAAAATCACATTTTTGATTGAAACTATTTCCTGAATTTTCCCACTTCTTGAAGAATGAGCTACAGGTTGCCCAAAGAAAGAAAAAGTGGAGATTTAAAGGGACAAAACCTCCCCAGGTCTGTAAATGTATGTGTGAATGTGTGTGTGTATAGTCATTTCCAAACCTGAGGATGAGACCCTCTAATACCAGTACACAAAATTATTTAGAAAATGGAGCTCATTGGCTTGTGAAAAATAGTAAGTGTTTGCAAGGAAAATAAATATGAAAGATCCCACATAGAATGTGGGAGAGAAATCTGTGAAAAGGGGGGGGGGGGAAATGTGTGATTTACTAAAGCTAGAGAGAGAGGGAGAAACGGAAAAAATGATTTTGTTAAGAGAATGCTGAGTGGAGAAAAGGGGTGAGATTTCTGTGTAGTATTTTAAACATTTTTTCTTGTCCTTGTTGGTTAATTTTTCTTTCTCTTGCTCAAGGACTTTTTGCCTTGAAAGAGCAAGAGAAGGGGGGGGGATGAGGCTTTTTTTTTTTTTGCTCACTTTAACCATTCTCCCCCCTTCTTAGTTGAAACATTGAGCAGCAGGTGAAGCTAGGCAGAATCACATCTGATACCTGTACAATTAGAACAGCCCCCCCCCCAAGGCTGTGTGCTTTCTCCACTTCTCTTCTCCCTATATACCAATGACCGCATCTCAAACGATCCATCTGTTAAAATACTGAAGTTTGCAGATGATACAACGGTGATTGGTCTCATACGAGACAACTATGAATCCACATACAGACAAGAGGTTGTACAACTTGCCTTGTGGTGTAACTAGAACAATCTGGAACTGAATACACTCAAAACCGTAGAAATGGTGATAGACTTTAGAAGAAACCCTCCCATACTACCACCTCTTACAATACTAGACAACACAGTATCAACAGTACAGACCTTCAAATTTCTAGGTTCTATTATGACACAAGACATTAAAATGGACACCTAACATCAAAAACGTCATCAAAAAATCACAACAAAGAATGTTCTTTCTGTGCCAACTCACAAAGCTAAAACTGCCCAAGGAGCTGCTGATACAGTTCTACAGAGGAATTATTGAGTCTGTCATCTGTACCTCTATAACTGTCTGGTTTGGTTCTGCAACCCAACACGACAGACACAGACTCCAGAGAGTATTGAGGACTGCAGAACAATTACTACCAACCTGTCTTCAATCGAGGGCCTGTATGCTGCACGAGTCAAAAAGTGGGCTGTGAAAATATTTACAGACCCCTCACATAAACTGTTTCAACTCCTACCCTCAAAACAATGCTATAGAGTACTGCACACCAGAACAACTAGACACAAGTTTTTTCCTGAACACCATCACACTGCTAAACAAATAATTCCCTCAACTGTCCAGCTATTTACAAAGTCTGCACTACTAATCTCATCACTCATCACCCATCTCCTCCCACTTGTGACTGTATGACTGTAACTTTGTTGCTTGTATCCTTACGATTTATATTAACTGTTTCCTAGTATGATTTGATTGCTTATTGTACCCTATGACTACTATTAAGTGTTGTACCTTATGATTCTTGATGAACGTATCTTTTCTTTTATGTACACCGAGAGCATTTGCACCAAGACAAATTCCGTGTGTGTTCAATCACACTTGGCCAATAAAGAATTCTATTCTATTCTATTCTATTCTATTCTATTCTATTCTATTCTAT